TCATCATCATTGTCACAAACACCATCATCAGCAAATATCATGACAGGAATAATTATGCCTATTTTATTAATAACAATTAAATCTAAATAAATTTTCCGCTAAAATATACTAATTTACATCTTTCTTGCTTTTCTTTCAAAAAAGATTGAGAAGTATTGCTTGAAATGAAAATATTTTGATGAATGAATTTTAAAAATACAAAAATTAGTTTTCAAATATTTCCTTTAGATTTTATAAAATATATATGTAAATGGATTGTATGAATATCAGCTGCATATTACATATGCTAATTAAGAATTAATATGTCATTATCATCATAGCTCAGCTTCACTAAGGAAGATTTGCGATGGACTCTATCCATACTTGCTACAAACTCTTCAAGTGTGTGCTTATCTTTCCGCCTTACGGAAAGTGTAGAATGTCCGGAACTGCCCTCAATCATTAAGTATAGAATGTCCGGAACTGCCCTCACTCATTAAGCATTGAGTGTCGGAATTGTCCTCAATCATTATGTATAGAGTGTCTGGAACTGTCCTCACTTTTTACTCCTAAAGTTTATTTATTAACGTCTAGCGATTTAACACGATGTTAGGAGTAAAATCCACAGAAGATAGGTTTTGTTAGAGGATTCTTTGGATGACTTTATAGGATTAAATGAATTCCATCTGCTCATCTATTGAGTTAGAGTTGTCCTTCACCTAAAATGGTTGACAGAAACCTAGCAAATCCATTCTTCCCTTTGGAGATATTTTATCTGACCCAACAATTGAAACCTATCTGACATGGGAAACTCTTATCGGAAGCACCTGTCAACATTAGCATAATTCGATTTACGGCAATGCAAACTTCTGTTCCATGATAAGAGCTCAGAGTATAATTACATCTTATATTAATTACATGTTAATTATTATTACCAATAATTTTTTTTTTGAAAACTTCTATCAAATATATAATATACTTTAGTTTAAAATTAATTATAATTTTCAAACAAATCTCTTATTTTAATGTTAATTTAAGTTAAATAATTGAAAAAATTTTAAATACAAAAACAAAATTTATGAATTAATTAAAAATTAATTAGAATAAAATTAAAATTAATTAAAATTAATTTTATAAAATGATTTTTTTAAACATACCTAATGCCATTCCTAATGATACAAATTCATTTTTAGGCAAATTTCTTGCATAATCAGTATCATAAAGTATCCATTCGAAATACATAAAATGTAACATGAAATAGATGAAAAGCCACCAAAAACTAATACGTAGTGTAAAAAATATAAATTTTCGCCAATTACGTATTTTATTTCGTCGTTGTCGCATTTGTCGTTCAAATTCCGGATAAATGACAACTAATGTTGTCATATATGGTGGATAAAATGCATAAAAAAGCATACGAATGTAACATTTAAAAATTGTATTATCTTCAGGACGTATTGCACCATTTTGTATTTCCAAATTATATGATATATATGAAAGTAATGTATAGCATAGAAAAATAACAACAAATATAGGATTTGTTGTTAAATGATAGGAATAAAGTAAGGTTAAATAAAGGAATGGCATTGAACATAACCATATAATAAGTTGATACCTGTAATTAATTAAAGAAAAAAAATAGCAATAATTTAAATTAACATATAATATTCATTTCAAATTATTTCATTATTTTCTTTAATAATTAAAAAAGTTTAATTAAAATAAAAATTATGATTTAATGATGGTTAATTTTTTTCTTTTTTTTTGGTCAAATTAAAATTATATTTGCAGAAAAAATTACAATTGAAATTAAAACTGAAAAAATAGAAATTTGATTTTTTTTTAAAATTTATTTATAGCAAAAAGTTTTTTTTGTAGTTTTTTTTTCTTTTTTTATTTAAGGCTGTTGTATTCATTTAATTTGAGTTAATTTTTTTTTTCGTTTTCAAGAAAATAATATATTATCTAATGAATAAGAAAGTATTTGTTTATCGATTAGATAAAACTCTTTATTCTAAACTTAAATCAATAAATTATTTAATCCTTTAATCTGTTATTATTTAAATCAATAACTCATTTAATGTTCAAATCAAGGTTTAAATCAATAAGTCATTTGTTGCTTTAATCTATTGTTATTTAAATCAACAATTCATTTAATGCTTTAATCTAGCTTTAAATCAATAGCTTATTCAGCACATTAGTCTAGGTTCAAATCAATGACGCTTTAATGGCTCAGTCTAGCTTTAAAATTAATAATATATTTAGCATTTTAGTGCAAAATAACATTTAAAATATTTCCGTTTGCTAATTGCGGAAAAAATCAAAAATTATATTTACAGGTAAAATTGTAAAATTTGGTTAAAATATTAGAGAAAAAAAAAAGAGATAAACATACCGGAAATGATAAGCAAGAAGAAAGATAACAGTTCCCGCAATGATTGATAAAAGGACAAGTAATTTACTAAATAGGAAACAACTATAAATGATTGAATAAATTATTGTAATATATTGTAAAATTTCATCGGAAACAAAATGTCCACCAATATTGAAAATAATTGAATGTATAGCAAAAAATGGTAAAAGCATAAGACCAACAGGTGACCATGTCCGCCATTCCCAATTTGATTCATCCTTTAATTATTCTTATCATATCATTTAAATAATATCTATGCTAAAATTCGATTAAAAATTGTTAATTTAAGTTTAGCGAATTATTCAACTTCACTTATTTCTGTGTTAAATTTAATTAATCAATTGTTGCTTTAGTTTAATTAGACATTAATTTAAATCTTTTAATTCGTTTCTTTTTTTTTCGCCGATTATTAAACAAATAATGAGATAATGTTTAGCTTGTTATAATAATAATAATAGTAGTAATAATAATAGTAATAGTAATAATAATAATAATAATAATAATAATAATAATAATAATAATAATAATAATAATAATAATAATAATAATAATAATAATAATAATAATAATAATAATAATAATAATAATAATAATAATAATAATAATAATAATAATAATAATAATAATAATAATAATAATAATAATAATAATAATAATAATAATAAT